TAAGTTAAACAGTAAGGGTCCTTACCTGGAGTACCTGGGTGAACCTTGGTACCAGTGGCGGACCTAAGGAACAAAGGGCCCTGGTGCAAGATTTTTTTTTGCCCCCCCCAAAAAGAAACCACAAACACAGTGCTCTCCTCCCGCAACGATCGGCCTGCTGTCACACTTTCTTTCCACCCTGCTGGGACACAGAGCACCTCCCAGCGGGGAGGAAAGAAAGCAGGGATGCGTTGCTGTATCGCCAGAAAAGCGGACGATATATCGGTGCATCCCTAATATTTTACAGCAATGCAGAATGGCAAAGGCTATAGAGAACTGCACATCTCAGCAATACTTTATATAACAATAGCATTTCTGTATAAAGTACTGCTGAGATTTGTAGTCCTCTATAGAGGGTGCCATTCTGCACTGCAGCAACAGTACTTTATACAACATTAGGCTACAAATAATAATTATTTTAATGATTTATTTACCCTTACCTCTTCTGTCTTCAGTTGTTCCTGTCTGTGTTCTGTTTGCTGGGTCCTCACTCCCAGAGGCGGCTCTAGATTTTGTGAGGCCTAAGGTGAAACGTAAACATGAGGCCCCATCTTACATATGCACGTATACATACACTCATATGTACACACATACATACATACATACATACATACATACATACATACAAAAATGCAAAGTCATTTACTCATGCATGCACACACTCATATACCCCGTTATTTATAGTACAGGTTTAAGAAGTCAGAACAACTCTGGAGATCTTCTTAAAGGAGAACTATGAGGTGAGTGCTTATCACTCATCCTCATAGTTCAAGCCGACCTGTGACAATGAAACGGTCACAGGTCGGCTCAGTAGATTGGGAAGTGAGCGAACACATACCGGCGTTCGCTCACTTCTCGATCTTGTCACGGCACAGAGCCGTGACAGGGGAGGGACTGGATTCCCCCTCCCCGCTCCGATCCTCCAGCGCTGATTGGCAGAACGGACGGGCAGAGCCAGCTGTCACTCACGCAGCTGGGCGGATCCAGACATAATTGTTGGGATCCGTTTCAGCTGCGGCATCTCAGTATATAGTGAGCTGTACTGAGCTTAGGGTGATGGAGGACGCCAGTTTGTGTCCTCCCGTTACCCTTAGGAGAACTATGGAGAAAAGCCCTAACCCATAGCAGTAGATTTTCCGAAATATTAGGATGTATGTTAAAGCATTTTAGATAATTATTACACTTAAATAAATAAATGGGGACAGGTTAATTTTTATTTTCTATAGATTGAAGACACATATCTCTTAAACCTATAAGTGACCCCTGTAGGTTTAGGAGATATGCCTGTTTTCTCCCCCATCTATCTCATGCCCTCTGTTCTTTGCACTATCTTCATATGCCCCCTGGACTCTCCCATCACCACGGTACCCCCTGCACCTCTCCCCCAACTCCAGCACCCCTTCCATCACATATTTCCTACACCTCCCATCACCTTTCCCCAGCCCTCTCAAATCATGGTCCCTTTCCATCTCTGCAGCCGCCCCTCCTTCCCCAAATCACATATCTAAAGACCCCCTTCTCCAATCACATCTCCTCAGCCCCTCTTCTCCAATCAAATCCCTGCAGCCGCTCCTTCTCCAATCACATCTCCGCAGCCCCTCCTTCTCCAATCACATATCTAAAGACCCCCTTCTCCAATCACATCTCCTCAGCCCCTCTTCTCCAATCAAATCCCTGCAGCCGCTCCTTCTCCAATCACATCTCCGCAGCCCCTCCTTCTCCAATCACATATCTAAAGACCCCCTTCTCCAATCACATCTCCTCAGCCCCTCTTCTCCAATCAAATCCCTGCAGCCGCTCCTTCTCCAATCACATCTCCGCAGCCCCGCTATTCTCCAATCATATCTGCTCAGCCCTCCGTTCTCCAATCGCATCTCCATGGACCCCAGGTCCCCAATCACATCTCCGTGGCCCCCCCTTCTTCAATCAAATCTCTGCAGCCCCTTCCCCTTTTCAATCACATCTCCTCAGCCATTATATAACTGGATGGGCAGCGCTCAGAGTTCAATTTTTCTAAACCTCGTATGAGTGTCAATAGTTTAAACCATAAATTGTGCCTTTTATCACATTATCTAAATATGGTAAAATGAATAGTGAAAACCAAAATTGGATAACAATAAATTTATGTCAAAAGTGTATTGTGTCAAACCACCGATACAATGTGTACTAGTGTAGAGCTAATAACTCCAGTCCACACTTCCGAAAGTTTATAGAATCGAAGTGGATCTTTACGTTGGACACTATGACCCCCAAGGGACTAAATATCGACTTCGATTTGAATTGCTTCCTAAGTAATAAATAATAATTTTATATTTTTTTAAAATAATAATTAAAAGGAAGATTAGAATTACTGCTATGATATAATATTTTAAATATTTTAAGAATTGTTCTAATATTAATATATATCTTAAACTTGGTTTTAAGCAATGCCATCATTATTCTATACACTTTCGGAATGCTCTATAGTTTTAGAAGAATTTTTTATTATATGTCAGAATTAATTTGTATTATGTATTAAAATTATGATGTGAAATTATGATTTTTAAATTCACATTGGTGTGTGAATAATACCACATTGTACGAGCATATTTGATCTAGATATTTGATCTCCAGAGATGGCTAACAAATATAAAGTGGTAAAGAATTAGTAGCTTCTTAATGTGTATCTATTTTGGGAGATGTTTAAACAATCCCAATATATGGGGCTAGAAAGACATCTAGTGGACCATTGTTGTAATAACTTTGATGTACGCTATATAAGCTGGGATTTGGTATGGGGGGATAGACCTGCATACTCCCCTGAGGATGTCGTTAATGACGAAACGCGTTGGGGCGGGCCTACCATAACAAATACGATAGCTATCGGACTGGCCGGACGTGATTTTTATTGTCATTGAATTTTAACTTCTTAACCACTTCAAGACCAGGTGTTTAGACCCCCTTCCTGGCCAGGCCATTTTTCAGTGTTCAGCGCTGCAGT